TTTTTATTTTTATTAATACTAAGAGAAATATAGACTAGTTGTCTGTGAATTCTTCATTGAATAGAAATTAATATTCGGATTATATAAATATATAATCAATTGTTCGAAACTATTTTTTTACCGATGTTAAAGTTAGAATAATATAAGAAAATATGGAGAGAAAGAATAAAACAGAAATGAGCAGATGAAAAAAGTACATCACTGAATACACATTGCCTATTACTAGGCGCAATTAGGAAGATTCTTATCCGTTACTCTGTATCAGAATTTGTTACTATTTCTCCTGTAAGCGTGATTCCTTAAGGATTTTTTAATAAAAATGGGTAAAAGATATTGAAATACTTTATATATTATTATATTAATAAATTAGATTATTATTGCTTCTAATATAAAAATTATTATTAAAATATTAATTGTATGACACGAGTGAATTGTATTCAGCCAGCGTGCACCAAAAAAATCAATGCGAACGGAATGTTTATGGGTTTATGATTATGGCTTTTGGGATGTTGAACGCGTGGTAGTCTGCATTTTTCTTCGAATTCGTCGGCGACGGGCCAGATGTCGACTCGTTTTAGTAATGAAATGGTTGCCAAAAAACTTTCATGGAATATAAGACAAATACATAAATTACATCCCTGCGCTTTTGCATATGCATTCTGCTATTAATACTTGAGAGTTCACACAATTTATTTGTTACACGACGTTCTCACAAAATATGTAGCTATTTTAGCGTCGCTAATAATAATTAGGAAATATTCACAAATTCCGTGCTTATAGGAGACCAGTTAGAAAAAGTCAAGTATAGAAATTGGTTAATGGATAAATTCCTAAACGGTGGACTAAAGCCGAGCGTAGAGTGTATAGAACGCGGTTCATCGCTCAGAGCGGACCACTTATATTCAATGAACGTTGACGTGGTTAGGTACAGAATCCGGTGTTAGTCGTGTGGGACCTGTGTTCACCATAAATATGCGATACCTCCGGTTCCCGTGCGCTCCCCTGGCTGTGCACACGCTACCGATCCCTCGGCTACGATTCGGTCTCACGAGCTTCCCCGGGAACGAAACCAGTGTTTAAATAGAAAAAAGAAGCGTAGAAAGATCGGCGGGCAGACGCATCAGGGATCGAAGGAGGAGAGAGGAACTGCCACTGGCGGTGAATTCGACGAGGACCAAAAACTTGAGGCTCGTGGTGCGTGTCCGCGGACGCGTGAAGGGTGAACAATTTCTCCAGATGCTGAACTCGCATCGCCGATGGCCACGAATGCCTTCGTTCTTGTTCACGCGAGAACCTCGTGAAAAATTTATCGAGTCAGATCCAGTTTCAATTTAATAATGCGATCTTCCTATTTCCGGACGCTAACAATGGCAATGTATATTTAAATGTGCAGTAAAATGCTCGATCAGCTGCACAGAAGTTTAAGAAATTTTTTTTTCATTTATTAGCATTTGGAATCTTATAATTTAAGAAATTTTTGATTGAAGTATTTATTAAGCATGTCAAGTGATTGAAATATTTGAATGATTCGTTCGTATGATATTTGAAAAATATGAGATCAGATCTGAATGCAGGAAGAATGGAAGTACATGTCGTTTCCGTGTAGTATACTTCAGAAACTGGACCTTTATTGGGAGAATGACGTCTTTCGCGTGTGAATCACGTACAATTGAACGGATTGCCTAAGTAGTTGATTACCGAGCGCGTACAGTCTCAATGTTGCACAAGTAGCTACGCGCTACTTTTCATGTGAAAAAAGCGTGTATGAAACCGTTCTCAGTAATTTTGTAGGTTGAGCTGCAACGTGTTTCTGATTAATATCAGTGTGAAAGAACCTCTCATTTCTATCGAGATTTTTCAAGTTTACATCAATTGTAATATTCATACAATCATGTAAAACATTCGCTTTATGTCTAATTGAACTTCTCCAAAGGTCAGGGGTCAAGAATGTTTCTTTTATTTTAGACAATAGCTTCGGATTAAAATAGGAGCGGAGTTTTGTATAGAATTTTTTTATTACACAGTACTTCACAGGCTTACGAGTTGTAAATAGAAAAATTGTGCCCGTGTCGTATTTCACGTTACTCTGATACTCACTGAAACATGAAAAGTGCCACTTTTATTTGCTAAAGAGGGCAAAAAGAAGAAACGGATGCAAACACTCGGCAGCTCTGAAAGTATTCTGTTGAATCAAGGTACATTTTCTGCTTACGTATACAAGTACCTATACATGTACCAATCCTTCCACCGGTCTTGTGAACCTTCTTTATACGCGGAACGAAAGTGAAAGTAAAGGCGGTTTGCGAGGGAGGATGACAAACGGAGGGTTGTTACCGGAAGTTGAGACTAACAGAAAAAATAATTACGCGTCACGTGCGGCGGGAGTCCTGATCACCGTTTCATAAAATATAAAACGAGACATTAAATCTACGAATCAAACGCGTTATTTCAATAATATACATTTTCTTGGAATATCACGTATCTTTTCCTCATATATTCAAGTAAAAACTGTTAGAAATTGCTTCCGCGTGAATTAAGGACGCGCGCAATCTATAATTTGCAATCATACGAAAATGTATAATTTAGAGCGAAAACTAGGAAAACAGATTTCATATACACACACATTTATGGTTTCAAATACATACATATTCCTTCGTATAATGGAGGAATTAGCAGCAACTTGATCATTTATAGAAATTCAATATTTCTATGCGTATTTATATTAGGTATGTACGAAATCGATAATATATTATACATTTTTTATGGCATGCCATTATTTGATGACAACAAGTGAGACTCTGTTTAAAGAAAGAGTATCAGACAAGTGTATTAGAAACGTCTTAATAGGGATTCATGAGCAAAACCGATGCACGTTTCACGCGATAGTTCTTTCTCTCTCTCGTAAAAGCGAGCCTGCGGTCGTCGGGCTGGAGGTGGTTGCGGAGGTGGAGGTGGTGTCCGTGTCCACGAAACATGAGGGGGAGCGAGAGAGCTACGTCGGAGATCGAGAGAAGGGAGTGACTGGCACTGGCGATGCATTGAGCAGGCCTCAGCCACTAAAACAGTCCTCCGGCACTTGGATCCGTTGTCAGGTCGAGTAGCGCGTGTCGATCGGTTTCCTCGATCCGATCCGTTCGCGTTTCACCTCTCGGAGAGGGTTATCGCGCGTGGGCCGCGCCGGAAACCGTAGATCGATATCGTCCCCGCGAGAAAGTTTCGCCGGGTTCTTGGGAACAGTTTCGAGAACGGCCGAGTTTACGGTAGAGAGAAACGCGGAGGAATGGGAAGCGAGTAAGTTTGATCCGCGGTGGATGGCGACGAATTTTCTTGGCGGGAAAGCCAAGCGCCGGTGTCTAGAGTTTGCCGATGCAAACGAGGGGATCGGGGGAATCGCGGCTGGCTCGCCAGCTGGCAAACAATGTTATCTGCCTGTTGCTCGCAATTGCCAGGGCGACGACTAATTAGCGTCGACCGATGTAGCGTACTAGGTTAATCTCCGGAGCAGAGACATCCGAACGGAGCTGGCTATCGCGCGTTGCATACGTCCGTGTGTACGCCGGGGAAAAAAAAATTGTGGTTCGCGCGAGCGTAACGAGTCACTTTACTCGTGGCAATTACCGCATCGCTAACGGTAATTGCTCTCGCCTCTGTCCGGCGTCTAATTTGCAAGGTGCTCGAGCAAGTTTCTCGCCTCCGACGCAGTCAGTCTTTTTATCGCTATTTACCGACGATTATCGGTCGCGGCTATCACTCGACAGAAAGTAAAAAGAAAAGTCGCGATTGCGGTGCGTCGTCAGATTTGATATCGAGAAACGTAGAAAGCGTACCGCGTGTCGGCGATGGTATACCGCCGTTTTTTTTACATCGTACTTCCGGCGTGACTCGAACGAAACGCGCATCCGATTAAACGAATAAGGAAAAGAGCAAGAAGTCAGAAGCGGAAGAACGGCGTGCAGACGGCGAGGTCGTTTAAGCCTCGCCGCACCGGCAGATCGCGAGCGAGCGTCATAGACGAACGTGAACACTGTTCTCGGGCGATCATGGTGGCACTCGGTTCCCGGTGAAAAAGGGAGCCGCGCGTATGAGTAAGAAAGTTCCTTCCGCGATCCCTCGGCGAAGAAACGTACATCGAGGGAATTAATCGATCGCGAACGATAACGGGACCCCGATACGTCTTGGGACTCGCGCGTAATCGCGGATACGTGATTTGGCGGAACGCGTAACGAGCTGCGTAAGTAAGTCGAACGGTGAACCTACCCTCTTCGCGGTAACGAGCATCCGAAGACTTCTTCTTCGTCTCGCGTCGGCAAAAACTGAGCTCGAGATAGCCGTTTCCTGTCATCGTGGGACGACGCTGACGAGAAAATGAATTCGGACCGGTGAACGGTAAATGAATTTCGAAAATCGCAGACAGCGCTTTTATATATATGTTCGCGTGGAGTGTATGGCGTTTTAATTGAATCCATGCCACGGTTGGGAGAACAACGACGGATGAAACGCACCGCGTTTTAATAAACAGTTGGAAAACGAGAGAGAACTCGCTACCGCGTTTCTCTTTATGAACGCGTGCTGAACGAAACTTAGCCTTCTTTCCACCGCCTTTTCATCCCGAAGAAAAGGGGAATTTAATTATTGTTTAAACTCAGACTGGCAAGTCGCCGCTGCGGCTATTTCTGTCGCCGGGCGCCGTCGTCGCGTCGTTCGTGCAATTAAACTGTATTCTTCCGCGGGAGCTTAATTTGAATGAACTCCGAGTATTCTTTCGAGCTTAAGCCCGTCCTGAAAGAAGGATCAACGGGATAGTGTTCGCCAGTTGAGCGAGTTTCGACCGAGGCTTTAAGACGGATCGCTGCTCGTATTCTGGCCTGGAGAATGGAAGAAAAATGAGGCCTGAATATATTGACATACATTAGTTCCGTCCGGTCGGAATCCAATTTGTCTTAAGTTTTTATGCATTATTAAATATCGACAACGTTGAGAAAACAGAGGATACAATTATCGTGGACATTTAAATTTCAAGATGCTGGCGAGATCGGATCCAGTCTCGAATTGTTCGAGCGAAATACAACAGCGAAACAAACTTTCGATATGATTCTGCTTCGTAACAGGATAAGAATTTTATCGGATTTCTGTCATATCTGCGAGAAGATTGCCAACGCATGATCCTCTCTTGAAGAACAGATAAGATACGTTGATTGAATTTAAACAGTGCGAATACAGGCGCTTTGTCGAGCAGTGTTACGAGTTTTAAGTGTACAAGCTGAGGAAACGTGTTTCTATATAAGAGATCGTCGAGTGAAGGGTAATTAGAGTGAAATGTTAACAACTAAATTTCAGTATCTGCAGTATGAAAGCTGGAACCGATGAATTTTCACACTCTCTAAGTATTTAATAGTATTTGATTTTACGTGTTTTCTCGTCTTTGACGCCACGTTATTATATCAAGGAAATTTTCATGATGTGATTAGGGACACACTTAAGAGAATTACGCTTCTTAATTAAAATTCAGGATCAGTAAAATAAAGTTATGACGTCTGAAACTAGCTTTCTTGGAATTATGGTCGCTAGAAAATTCTGCATGATTTTCCAACGAAGTTTGATTCATTTAATCTTTACATTTCATTCTCGTACTTAGCGTTTTCAAATTCTGCTAATGTGAAACTTTGATAAGTGCTACTGTCTTTTTGTCGGAAACGAACTGCACTGATTATTGCTTTGATATTCGATGTTTCGTAAAAAGTTTATTCTTATCTCTAGTTTTTTCTTAAATTGCTTTTTCAATTCGTGAAAACTTTCACTTCCACTTTCGAGATATTCATTTAATTGTCTATGTACTCGAATCTAATAACATATTTCTTCATTTTGTTTCATTATCAATTACTGTCTCTAATTAAAAATGATCTTAAGAACTATATAATTACTCTAAATTGTTGATAACAATAAATGAACGCAGTAATTATATCCGAGAGAAAAAAATTGGTCTCGAGCTTGAAAATTGCGCGCGCGTCAAAGATTCAGCGGATGTCCTTGCTGATAATAAGTGACGTGAAACCGAGCCGATGCAAGTCGAATGCAAGTGTCGGTAAATAAATAAATTCATGGCTCGTCAGCACCGAAATAATAATAATACACAATATATAAATTCGTCGCGCATTCGACGGTATCCTTTTTAATAGCTGATCGCGTCGCAGTCACTTTTCATTTCGCGTTTCATGCATCAACGTACCTGTCTGCCTTTCAGTGCATCGACGTATACCTGTTCAAGGCCCGGACGAGCTCAGTTTCAATATGTAATCAAGCCGCGCGCGGGAAATTTATATTCGCGCCGTGGGGCTCGCGGCCTCGGGACGCTGATAACGTAATTGAAACGTCCGAAAAATGAAGCCAGGCCGTATAAATCGCGAGCGCGCGTCGCCTTTTTGTCGCCCGTGATTCGTTCGTTAACCGATAAACACCAAGGTCGCCTTCAACATATACCGTTCTCCATTGAATGAGATACATAAATGTTCAATATAAATCCTTATAGCACAAAAGTATTTCGGTTATTTATTTGAAATCCAATTTACCGAGAGTTTCCAACAGAAATGTTTATTCGAACAGTAAATATACGAAGCAAATATAAAATGCGAAATAAGAATTGAAAAGTACAAATCATGGAATAAAATGTGATTTCAGAAAGTTTATTTTGACTGAAACAAATTTTATAAATCACACGTATGTGGAAAAATATATACATATGTAAGCTTGTATCAAAGGAAAAGATTGTGTAAAAATTCTTGCATATTAGATTGGTTTACAATATGAATTAGCAGACAGCATTGGCAGTTGTATGCGATTTGAACAATGGTGAAAATCTGAAGCGATCAGTCAGGTGTGCGTTGATTTTTCTGCAAACGGGGCGCGAAGATAAAGTAATTGAAATGCCTGGTGGCCTCTCGCGATTCTCGGAACCATTCCCGCATAAATCACGAGGCATCGCGTCTCGTCGCGTCGCATCGTTTAGCGTAGCATCCATCCAATCGACTCCTTTAAGTGGATCATTCGTTGAATGTAAATGTTACAATAGAAATCTCGGAGAGTCGTGGCTTTTCCTTTCTCTCCCGCTCCTCGGCCGCCGATAAATTCTGACCGTAACGCGTAAGCGCTTTTATCTACGCTTTAAAGTGAATTACAAGTTCTTCCTCGAAGATTTAAACGGGTTTTCTCCTGTCTATGAATGATGAGATATAGTGGTCGGAAAAAGTATCGACGTCGTTATGCTACCAATCGCACGGAAGCTTTTTTATTCAACTTTGCTACTTTAGTATAATTGTAATTTGTTCGTAATAAATTAATCATTATTTCATTGCAGATTAACCTTATAATGTATATTTGTTCGAATTTATTAATTGAAATTTATACTACTAGATGCAATTAATTAATTCAAATAATTAAACCATGTTTAGTTACTGAACGATTTGTAGTTTCAGTAGTGAGCTTATACTTCCAATTAAAATTACGTAATTCCATTGATATAATTAAACGGACAATGTTTATTCAATGAAATATTTGGTTTATCAGTAATGTGTTGTGAATTATGTTTACTGAAGAGCTACAAGGATGATCAGCTTATTCGTTTGAAGCACGTATTGAAAATAAATCATCTGCTTCGAGAGTTTTACTTGTTTTGAAATGATAACGCCGGCGGGAAATTTTGAGCGGTAATGCGAAACGTGAGCTTGGCCATAGCGTGGGTGCGGTAGCCCGGATGAATCTTGCATTCGACTGTTTCACCGTAAAGGACATCTGGAACTTCATCAAAGTTTCACGAATAGCCGTTGCGCCGTTCCAGCTTGAAAACCGAGGATACTCGCAAATGGTTAACCGGAAGCGAAACGCTCCCTGACCAACATTTCGTTTATACATTTCTTTTTCCGTTTTTTTATCGTTCGATAGAAGCCTCTGATTAAATTCTCGTGGGAATCTGTTTGAGAAACGTACCGAAAAAGAGTGAAAATTTTATAAAGCGCATTCGTGAGTGAGAATGATTACTGAATTTAGGAATCAGATTTCGTTCTTTGCCATTGTACTAAATTAATCAGAAACACCTGAAACACACGCCAGGAAACAGTGAGATTAGGTCCGTGTGTATGAAACGTCGTTTTATTATCTAGTTAACATTGGAATAATTTCGTGTCAACAAGATTTATAAAAAAACGCATTCCAATTCCAGTAGATGTCGTAATTCTCTTTATACATTATAGATATTATTTTCAATAATATTACAGGAAGACTAATTAAACCAACAAATTGTATTCTTCAGTTTATTATTTCTGGCAATGAATTTTTAATGCGACCTGAGAAAATGAAATTATCTATTCATTTAATAACACGTAAAAATGATTTATAAATCTTTCGACTATCGTTTGCCGCATTTTATGACGACGTTTTATGCACCAATCTAATAAAAGCAGCAAGGAAGATTTACGACGAACTGTAAGAAGGATCGATCTACTTAAAGGATTCTACCGTTCGATAACGCGATTGAGAGGTTGTGTGTATACGCGTGTCGGGCCGACAGTCACGTACTCGGTGCACGCGTTTTCGATTCGAGGCTTTGGGGACGTGGTACCGTTCGATTCTTCGCGTTAGACCACGCCGATATCGGCCGCGTTACTCTTCACACGAGGATTTCGCGACGATTTTCATCGCCGACGTTCCTACTTTTCACGTTCAGAGATTTCATGTGATTATTCTGTGGAGATGCTCAAAATACGGATGCTGGACTATATCGGGGACACGGGGTAAGTGTTAAATCTACTTCGTGTTTTGACTAATTGGTGATGGAACTAATAATAAGATTGTACGAATTGTTGTAAAAATATTTGAAAAGAAGACTGCGAATTTTTATGCAAAATCAAATACACGATTTATGTCTTGAAAATCATTTCTAAAAAGTGCAGTCTAGTTATAAGACATGCATACTAATTGATAATGATATATTAAATAGGAACATATATGAATCAGAAGGATTATGAAAAATATGTTAGAACTTATTTGATAAAGTCAGGAACGATGTGAGTTATTCTCTAAAGTGAAACTCCGCTGAAGACATTCGGTTTTTATCAAATAGATCTATTCCTAAAAAGGAAAGTTATGAACGAAAGATGATAGGAGAGAATGGGATTGTTCCACTTAAAAAAATCTCTGTAATTGTCCAAATACCGATGCATCTTGATTAAACAAATGAAAAGTTTCATTAAGGAGAGTAGATAGAGAACAAGTTTTAATTCTTGGAAGGCGAAATAAAAATGAGACACACTTTGTAGGAGTTTATTCATGTATCAAAGATACCAACAAGTTTCATACTTGAAAGCAGCTGTTTGCTCTTTGTCACGGTAGCATAAATATCTGCCCATCCCTAAATTCAGGACAAACAGCGCAAAAAATATTGTCAAGCAAATTCTTGAACTACATACTTTTCACAATCTCAGTGGCAGAGAAATTTTGTTCGTAGAACGTGGACTAAAAATAATCATGTTAAACGTTGCCTTCAACGTTGAATCTTAATGGATTAAAAGCGTACGATTTTGACGGTTTAATTCACGCGACAGCAAGTGCGTTTCACGGTGGCGATATGCTTTTAAGAACAGACCAGATATTTGCATCTGGAATGAAATTATAATTGAGCCGGGACGACGGGAGGGAGAGAGGGCGAGGGATTTCCATTTTCTGGCCTCGTGGCCGACCACTAGGAATACATCGCTCGGAATACTAATGAACGTAGCACGAGAACAAGACGAGCCGATATTCTTTTTCCACCTCGGATATAAGAACGGGCCACTCGACTCCGGCGGCTACTTAGATAAAATTTCAGAACGGAATTAGGACAGGTCGAGATTTCGTTTCGTGCCGAGGGCCTCCTCTCGCGTCTGATAAATTTACGACATTAAATTCGCGAGAAAATCACCGTTTGATAGAATTTTAACAGCCATCGACAGCATCTTCGACGAGGCTACATCATTTTTCTATTTTATGCACTGATCATTCCATACATATATTTTTAAAGGATAAAGTTTAATTTCTTAAATTAACACCACAAATGTTTTATTTTACATAAAACAGCGCAACTGTACATATAAAGCTTAGAAATAGTTTATGGTCTAGGAAATTGGTTATATTTGGCACGCACTCATGCACGATAATACATTGATACATTAAACAGAGTAATAAGATCGTTCATCTTTCCGGGCATATCATTTTCAAGGAATGTGGCTTGTGCTAAATTATATCTGAGATTTTCAATCCACTGAATTCAATTTCTTCGTACTTACATGCTGGAAGTGTGATGAAAAATGGAATATCGTACATTTCTTCTAAATGATCCTTGCTTAGTAGAAATCTCATCAAATAATCATTTCTATTTATATTTTATATAAAGTATGAGAATAAATTGAAGCACCTATACGTTTAGTTGCAGTTTGTATATTTACTATATTCATTATGTAAGATTTATTTTTCTTACTGTCTTTGATGTAATTTTAATACACAATCAAACCGTACGTTCATGTTGCAATTACGATTTCTGAAATTTGCATCATTCTCTTGTATCAACGATTCCACATTGATGAACTGATAAAAGGATGGGGAGGATAATGGAGAAAATTCGCTAAACGGCCGTAATCGCGGTCAGCTGTTCATTGAAACAGCCACCTACGTCGCGGGGCTTGAAATCAATTATTAGCCGGTTCCATTGAACTAATTCGGCCGCGCAATTTTCCAATCGAAGTTAATGGATCGGCTTTTCAGCGCGTGGCTCGCGCGAATACGTTTCTAATTTCCTGTTTATTCGCCGCGACCCGCGCCGTCAATTTCGTTCGTTCACGATGTACACCTCGGTTCATGAATTCTAAAAATTATCAGTACTTATTTCCTAAGAAAGATTACAGTAAACATAATCGAAACTGTGTACAAAAACTTGTATAATAAATTATGAATACTTGAGGTTTTGCAAAAGTTTTTGTCAATCAAAGTCAGGAGAAACGAATGCAAGATAATTACGCAAGAATTTCATTCATAATTATATATAAAGAAATTTGGTGAGCATTTCTTTTAATCTATTAGAATATTAAAAATTTGCATTCGCGATTTACGATGTCTTATTCAGTTATATTTTACATATCCTAAGACTCATGAACAGGGGTTTATGTATACGTGCATTGTACATGTACATAATATAACACGATGACGCGATGGTTTGTGGGTGCGAAATGATGTTGGCGAATTGATCTAACGAGGTCGATGCTGCTCGAACAGGAAGGCGGACGTTTCACCGTAGTGAAACTTTTTCTATGTGAAAGAACGAGAGCACCGGTTTAGAAACTTCGAAATTATTTGTTAAAAACATTTTTCAGTGAGATATTGTAATCGAAAAAATTCTTCAATACAATTTATTTATAATTCGAATGAATAAGAACGATCTGTTCATTGGTTTTATTAATAGGAACTCTGCATGAATTTACTATGCAAGCTGCAACGAATGAATTCTGTTTCATTTTTTATTTTCATTTATTTTATATTTTCTACAGGACGTTGTATATAAATTAGTATCCTAAGAGGTTTATAATGAGATTAATGAATAGTAAATTACTTCACTGATGTATCTTGTATATCGGGTGATTATGGGGGGAACTTGCAAATTCGATTGCGAATCTCGGGCACGGCTTGTTGTGTCATGTATGCGGTGGGCGGCCGCCCCTGCAGGAAGTTACGAGATGGGATAGAATGCGAGACCGCGAAATTCGTGGCTGTGATTTCTCCAGAAAGCAATTTAGTATGCTTTCGAAGAAGAGAGGTAATACAGTTAGTAACGCGGCCGTTCACTACTCCAAATTTTATGTCCATTCCGCATAATTATTCACCTCCTAAGTTAATGCTTGATTACTTTGGAAATACAAAACCTAATGGTAAGCTTCAGCTGTTCTTAGTATGGAATTTACTTTTTACGGACGTGACTCGTTTCCTCTTGTGAATTTTTCTTTTGTTTTTAACAAAATGACGTCTGTAGTGAATGGAAAAAAAAGAATAAATTGTTACGTATTTATATTTTAACTTTCAGAGTATTGAGCTCGTTAATAACTTTTGTAAAAGTTGCAACGCGATATTTTAAAAATCAGTGATTGTAAAAAATAATTGCTGCTGTAAAAGTTTGAATTGAAAAGCATGTTTCATTTGTGTTATTCCGAACCGTTCGATTTCCAATTAAGAACCAATTAGAGTTGTTAGCACGCGCAGCAGTTGGATCGTTCAATTGTTTTGATACGTAATCACATTGGTCTACGCTGCGTTACTGGATGCGTAGGTCGGTCTTTTACTATATTCGCTGTTGCGTATCGGGTGAGTCATTTTTGAAATATAATTAAACCGTGTCCGTGACTATTAATTCGCTCGTTACATATTCAGGCTGTCGCGGCATCGTGTCGTTCGTTACGTATTCAAACTGACGCACAGAGTTTCTCAAAGTAAAGGGAACAAATCTCTTTTCTTGCAAGTAATTCTGTGTTAATTAAAATAATTTAGTGAATATCTTGAGATCTATCGTCAGTCTAATGAACATATTCTTTTCTATCTGATTTGCATACGTAGTAGCATTGCAGAAACTCGAGTGATAAAAAATAATGTCACAAGAGAATTTCTTACTTAAAAACCAATATTTCTTCTCTTCATAGTTTACGCAGGAAATCAATAGTTCTCAAACAGTGAAAAGAAATTTATTTCCTTGTCCCAATTCTTTACGCTTTTCCTTTGATTACTCAAGACGATTCTAGAACCGCGAAGTTGTATATTTTTCATACCGAGTAATTCTTCGTACCGTTATACCCACATAGCAAAATCGGTTTTACATTTCATGCTGGTTAATATTTCTAAGTTCATACATGGTTGCAGTGAATTCTATCATAAGTACTGTAAACGTTACCGCTAAGTATCCGAATAATTACGGGTATAAATTATAAAAGCAGCGATACACGTGTAGATTGAATAAATATTTCGATTTTTATTCTTAAATGTCAGTAAACTTTAAATGTAAATAATTAATAAAAACAGTACATCTGTAAAAATGGAATACTGTTACATATATGTAATATACATTTAGATATTAACAATTATTCAGATGCAAATTGAGGAACAAATTAAAATTAGTTACTTATTTATATTATAACTACGTATTTTATATAATAGGGATGAATCTCGTTTTAACGTTCTTCAATTAAAATCTAACGAGCTACTGGCCATTTCTGCAATCAGGCAAAACTTTCGAATTAAATTAAACTTGGAGCACCGTTTAATAAACCACCGATGCAATCGGGTGAAAAGGTGAGCCTGACGAGTAATTTATACCGTGACGACCGGTCCGTTAATTTATCCAACAATTCCAAAGATGTTTCAGTTTTCGATCGAAGCTATTGTACAGACAGTCTTATTGTTTTATTTAAATATCTCACAGTTCTTGAATTCACAAACTTTATATTAATTTTCAGTCTCATTAAAAATTTCTATAAAATCATATCACTTGTTTTATTAATTATGGAGAAAGATCAACATTATTATAGTAAACGAAAATGTATAAAATATTGGAAGAAAGAACCTATTACAATATTTAAATTCCGTTTTTAATCTTACAAAATATTTTATTTTTCACATCGGAAAATACGCAAATAGTTACGTAATTGCGATGAATTGGTTTGTCAGTTATATAGCCATTTATTGTAGCGGAGGAGTAGACCAGTAATTGTCTGACGCGGTC